TCGCCGTTGGTTTCACCATCAATAACAAACTTTGCTTCTATATTTATTTATTATTTTGTGTTTGTTTTGTGGTTTAAATATAGAATGCAATAGGTGATATGTCACCATCGTATATGAACCAGGCTTGACTTTGTAGATGTAAAATAAAGCCCAAAAGAAATATTTCGGTTATTAAACTTAACTTGTCTTGTAGAATCATAATATGTTCCTTTTTTGTCCAGTTGATTAGAAAAGCTCTAAAGAATGTAGTGAAAAAATGGGCAAGAACAATTGCAAAGGGAGTTAGTTTGGCATATCGTGAAACTAAATTATAAATTATTAGAGATTAAAATGCTATAAAATTTTTTAAACCAAACCTTCAATAAATTTAAATGGCTAAGATTTAATGAAGTGAACATAAATGCTTAACTAATTTTTTGCCATTCCGAATTCCACTATTCTCTCTTGCCTTGCAAATTTCTAGACGTCGTTAGATCTATAAAAATGAAACAACCTTTCTTGGCTCACCTCTTAAGGACAGATACATAAAAATAGGACAAACTTGTAATTTTAAAATTTTGCAAAAATCTCAGAAGTTTAACAAATATACATTTATGATATTCCTAATAAAATATTCAAGGTGTATACAATTGCTTAAAATTAAATATTATATAAGTGTTTTGAGAATAAATGTTTTATAAATTTAACATCCGAAATGAATAAATGTTTTAGACCATAAAATATCGAATAACAAATACTAGCCAAATAATTAGTAGAAATTACTAAAAGCAAATTATTAGAGTTCAGGGTCGACTTTTAAAACAACGAAAAAATGGAAACGAAGGTAACTTTATTACGTGGAATTTAGTGCCGAAGATTATGAATTTTCGAGTAATTCTATAGGCAACTTTAAAAATGACTTTGTCCTAAAATTAATATAGTAATCCTCGTACAAATCAAGCACTACCATCCATACAACGTAACTTAAAAAAATGCGTAATCCATAAAATTATTAGAGACTTTGGCGTACAAAACTCTATTGCACATCAAACTTGGTTTAACTATGTTAATTTTTTTAAAAAAGTTTCTCTAATCGACTGTCTTACTGTTAACACTTTAAATCTGATCAAATCTAATTAAAATTATATTAAATTAAAAAAATATACATAATATATAAATTTTAATACATAATGGTAGTTCATTTTTTAAGATGTTAACCATCATAAAACTCCTTATTTTGTGCTTTTCACTTTAGTATTTTTAATACGATCCCGTGTACTATACAAAGTTCGATGCAGTACATATAATTAATAGAGGCGCAAGGACAATTCCTTGGAGAGAATATTTGAATCTCGGATCTACCGTGCTTTCACCCTTGTCTTTATCCACCAAGACATATCTTTTAAAAAAAATAATAAACCTAACAAAAGAAAAAGGGAAAAAAAACAAAAACAAAAACTATTGTTCTCTTGCATGGAAAAACAAAAAAACAAAAGCCAATTTAAAAGTGGGAAAGAAAAGGTAAATACGAAAAACAAAATAAAGAAACAAAGAAAGAAGAAGGAACTTTTGGTGGTGTAGACTAAAGATAACACCAATGCATTGAAACATCCGAGAAAATTCCATTGAAAATGACAAGTGCTGAATAGAAAATATAAGAATAAATTTTAGAAAATATAAGAATAAATTTTAGAAAATATAAGAATAAATTTTAGAAAATATAAGAATAAATTTTAGAAAATATAAGAATAAATTTTAGAAAATATGAGAAGTATAAGGATTAATTTTATTTTTAAACCACTCTTGAACATTGACCTATTTGTCACTTTACCTCTGAATTTTAAAAAGTAGTGTACATATCCTCTCTGAATTTTAAAACGCTATTAAGTTTACACTTAATTTGTTCATTTGATGACAGATTGAATGACATGGCAATGACTGGAGGAGTAGTTTAAATGTGTAATGGATTATTTTCATATATGTCCTTGAAGTACTATCATATTTTAAAATGCCCCATATTTTTTAAAATCATTCAAAGTACCTCCAATCTATATAAAAATATCAAAATGCCCCCTTTTATCTACTTCTATATATATCACAAATGATTTTGCTGATGTGGAGTGCCATTAAAAATTAATCAATAAAGGTATAAATTCTAATTAAATCAATAAAACTGGTTAAATATTAAGAAACAATAATAAAGAATAAATAGAAAAATTTGATAAAAAATAAAAAGCAAATAAATCAACTATTTTTAAAAAGTATATATAAAATCCAAAAAAAAGGAAAAAAAAAGGGAACCTTCTTCCTCTCCAGATCTCAAAGTACATCACTTGATTTTTTATTTTTTATTTTTCAAAACCAAGTTTTTGTTTATTTATTCTTTATTATTATTTCTTAATATTTAACTGTTGTTATTGATTTAATTAGAATTTAATATCTTTAATTGATTTTTCAAGTTTCTGGGTGCATGAATATGAGCATATATCCAACAAATTTTAAATTCTGATGGCTTTATTCTTGTTAATAAAGTGAAAGTCATAAACCCATGTCATATAAAAAACAGTACAACAATCAGACAAGCCAAAAGTCAATGACAGCAAGAAAAAGTGCCTCAGCCTCCATTAAATTGACGAAGGACTTGTTTACTGCGCTGATTTTAATTTTTAATTCGAGTTAAGATGTAATTTTATATTATTACTTTTTATTGTAGTAAAAAAGTTAAATATGATTGTTTCTGAGAACTTTTTATTATAGCAAAACTCAAATTTTAAATTCGAATCAGTGAAATGAATAAGGGCTAAAGAAGTTAAGGAATAGGCAATACTGCAAAGCATAATGGCCTTCCTGCTTAATAAGTTTAAGATCTAGGTTTTTTGTAACACCCCGGAGAATTAAATGTGATTAATTGAGATAATTAAGATTTATTAGTGTGTCTAATATGAATTAATTAATTAGTTATTAATTAATAAATATTTTTGACGTGTAAAGTTGAGTAATTCCAAGGTATTTAAATATTCTCAGTATTTACATTTTTACCCAAAAGTGTGTATGGGCACATTTTTAGACTGTTATTTTAAATATTTTGACACATGTCCATTTTCCTTTTCTTTTTGCTTTTCCTTTTCCTTCCTTTTCTTTTTCCTTCTTTTCTTTTCCTTCTTGAGGACTCTCTCTCTCTCTCTCCACTCTCTCACTCTCACTCTCGAACTCACTCTCTCTCTCTCTCCTGTTTTACTTCAAAATCAACAGGATCTCGAACCAAAGAGGAATTTCAGAGAGTTTCAACGTCAAGAGAAGGATTCGAGGTAAGATTACTGAAAGAACCTCTCTTGAATCTCAAGTTTTCAGATTTTAAAACTTATTTTGGTTCAAAATAGATTTTTGATAGATTTTGAGTAAAACTAGGGGAGAAATTGGAGATCTTGGGTTCTATGGACTTGATTTAGTACCTAGAACCCAGATCTAGTGGTTGTCCCTTGAGATACTATGATTTGGGACTGAATTTGCAGGTTTTTGGACTGATTTTGTGAGTTTTCTCGCACTGGTGTTCTTCACTGGTCTACCTGTGCGGTCGACCGGACTACACTGAGGCCACCGGTCGACTGGATTGCACACCACCGGTCGACAAGTGGTGATGCACTGCTCTGTCACCGGTCGACCGGTGTACACAAGGTTTGACCCCGTTTGACCTGAAAATGTTGTTTTGACCTCTGTTTTTGAGGAAGACCCAAATTAGCTTCATTTGGGGACCTAGAGTAGATAGATTAGCATCTTTAATCCATGTTTTGAGATTGAAAACCCTTGGAATGGTGATTTGAAACATGAAATTGATTAGGGCACACTAATAGGAAATCAAAGGATATAATTGAGATTGAATTACTTTAGGAATGATAATTGAATCATAAAGTATTGTCTTGTATCAGTGTTAGCTAAAGACTCGGATTGAGTGGCTTGAGGAAGCGGAAGCCAGGATAGTGCACCACTAGCCACAGGTTTGATATCACGAGGTAGGATTTCTATCCATTTTCTTTGTGAGCCTGTTTTCAAAAAGGATTTTGACCTTGCAAATGTTTTAAAGAAAGGAGCTTGTTTGCGAAAGAAACGCATTTAAAACCCATGGCTTGATGTAGTTCATGGTACCCATGGCTTGTTGTAGTACATGGGACCATGGCTTGATGTAGTTCATGGGACTCGTGGCTTGTGTAGTTCATAAGTTTATAACAAACAATTTCATAAAGTTTAATGAATGATTTCTTAAGATAAGAGATCTTGCGAACTGGTAAGCTGGCTGATGGCCAAGATAGGATGTGGAGAGAGCATCCTTACGGGCAGGACCCGACACCCCGGGGGTATGGCTTGTGCACGTGGTTGTGTAAGTAATTTGTATAAATTACTTGCTGATGCCTGTAATACGGATATTTTCATATACATTTCCTATGAGAAAAAGGATGTGAGGTTCTAGCTGTTGTGTCAGGACTGAATGTCTTATTTTATTTACTTATCCATTTATTTATTTACTCGCTTATTTATTTATTTATTTATTTATAAAGTTTATTTCAAATTATATCCTACTATGCCTTTCGCTCACGTTTTCCATGTTTCAAATGTATTAAATCCCTCCCAGGCGACTCTAGGAGCGGTGCGGGGTAGACGGATCATTTGCTACCATTGGATCAAGTGCGGATTATGTTCATCCTCTTGGATATATGTAAGAATTTGTAAACTCTGATATTTGAATTACTAGACTGTGGATGATGTCTGTAATGATTTATTTACATGTTCATGTATGTACTGTAATGAGATCATGTGGATAGATCATGTGCTTAGTACAGTGTGAGAGGCTTGAGTTCTAGTCTCTCCCTTGTGATTTATTTTAACCGAGTGTGGGGCTCGCGGGGAATTTCCTTTATTATAATGTGTTTAACCCCTAATCGAGCTCCACGTCACCGACCCCTATTCCGGGGCGTGACAGAGTGGTATTAGAGACCTAGGTTAAGAATCCACAGGATTGTACATACATGTGTGACATCAGAATTCCATTGAACAGTCTAGTTTCTTTTCAGTTAAAGGAGATACCGCCGCATCGTAGGTCGGTTAACAACCCGGCACCACAAAACCAGGAGTTCATGGATGGCATGTATGCCGCTTTTCAAGGCATGGCCACTCAAGCTCAGAATGAGCGAGCGGCCGAGGAAAGGAAGCACAGTTACTTCTGGGAGTTTAGGCGTGCACCTATCCCTACCTTCAATAGTGAGGGAGGACCCCAGGAGGCAGAGTACTGGTTTGATTCCATCGTGAAGCACCTGAACACCATGGGAATACCGAAAGAGTATTGGGTGGAATTCGCGGTGTATAAGATGGAAGGTCAAGCGAGTACTTGGTGGAAGCAAGTGAGAAGGAGACTTGATGTTGCGGGAATGAATTGGGAACAGTTTGAAGTTCTCTTTAATGAACAATACTTTCCTCAGAGTTACCGGGATGAAAAAGCAATGGAGTTTATGTCCTTGCTTCAAGGTGACATGTCGGTGAGGGAGTATGAGGCAAAATTCAATGACTTGTCCCACTTTGTGCCATCTCTTGTGGAGTCTGAGCATTTGAAATGCTTGAAATTTAAGAAAGGTCTCAAGAATTCTATAAGGAGACCCTTAGTGGCTCTAAGGATCCAAAATTTTCGAGACTTGGTGGCTGCTGTTACAAGCATGGAACAAGACAATTTGGCATATCAGCAGAGTAAGGAAGCAGCTAGTCGAGTTTCTACTTCAGGTGGGCCACAACGGAGTGGTAGAAGAAACCGCAATCAAGGACAGATTAGCGGGGAAATGATCAGTGGTGGCAATAGTTCCTCTGGAAGTGACAGAAATGGTCCCTACAACCCCAAGTGTCATTATTATGGACAAGTTGGCCATATTTGGATGAACTGTCCAAATCGGAATCAGCCGCCGACCCAGCAATCTCAGAGTGAGGCTTCTTCTGGTCAAGGAAGACCACCGCAGTTTGTGCCGCCTTATCAGCCACAACTGCCAATACCGTACCCTCCTGTGCCAGCCTACCGTCCGCCTTAATATTCACAATTTCGGCCTCATGTGCCGGGACTGGTGCAGATACCTCCGCCATAATAATATAGGCCGGGGACACAACGGCCCAATATTGGTGATAAAGGAAAGGGGAAAGCGCAGGGACAAGCGTATACCCTGACAGGAGGTAGTTCTGGAGGACAGGCGAGCAACACGGTGGTTGAGGGTATGATTCTGATCTCTCACTCATTTGCACATGTATTGTTTGATACTAGTGTCACACACTTGTTTATATCAAGTTCTTTTGTACGAATGTTGAAATTGAAATCTGAGAACTTGGAAGTCCCGATGACGTTGAACTCTCCACTAGGATGTGTGGAGATGTTGAGTGTGTGTAGATCGTGTGAAATCACGATTAGGGGTGAACGACTGAGAGTCGACTTGATTATCCTTCCGAGGAGTCTGTTTGACGTGGTGCTCAGAATGGATTGGTTAGCATGATACGGTGCAATTGTTGATTGTTACCGTAGGAAAGTAACCTTGATGACTGATTCTGGAGCGATAATTACCTATCAAGCGGACATGAATCCAGTCCTGGAAGAACGACTGTTGAAATACAGCGTTGGAGGACACAGGAATCTAGCTTGTTTCTGTTTCCTTCTTGCTCTAGAAGGTGAACCAGAGGTAACAGGAGATAATGTGAGAATTCTTGTGGTGGATGAATTCGTAGATGTATTTCCGGATGAGCTACCTGGTTTACCGCCGGATCGGGAAATTGAATTATGCATTGATTTAGCTCCGGGAACGACACCTATTTCTATTCCTCCATGTTGGATGGCACCTGCTGAAATGAGAGAGTTAAGAAAGCAACTTGAGGAGCTAGCGGAAAAGGGGTATATTAGGAATAGTACTTCCCCTTGGGGTGCACCGGTGTTGTTTGTGAAGAAGC